TTTTACTCCATTCATGCACTCTATGTCTTTTGGGCTTGAGCGAGTTATTTCGTAGACTTGTACAGATATTATTGAAAGGTACTAGTCGTCAACATGTCGCTCTTGAGTCACGTCTGTCTCTTTCGGAGCTTCAGATTACTCTTTTACACCAGTCCCTTTCGCACATATTGCATGTGTAGCTTGGTTGACACAAACTCGTCGCGACCTCACGTGGTGTGTGGCTTCTGACTTGCGCTCAAGTATCCAAAGAGCCGCATGTGGCTCGCAAGCCATGGTTTGCCGACCACGGGTCTAGGTTAAATTCCCCTGCGTATGACCAGAAGGAAGTCCTCAGACTAGCTCTGGGCTGAATTACCACAAAAAAGATGGTGGTGGGACAGAAGAACTTCTAGAAATGCCAGGAGGGTGAGCCTTGGGGGGCTGAGAGGATGAGACAAGGCTGGCAGAGCTGGGGGACCTGGCCTTGGCCGCCCATCTGCCCAAACTCCCAGCTACCTGTGCTGCCCCCTGAGACTGACCTCTCCCTGCCTGGTGTCCAGGCCTGGGCACCAGCTGGAGCTGGAGACCGAATATGGTTTTGGAATCTTGTCTGAAGGCGGCCTGGGAGAGGGCTGGTGGGCGTGGCTGGGAGGGGAGGTGCGCAGGAGACCCCACCGTGAGTTGGGGAGCAGGACAGTGTCCGGTGGAGCCGGGAGAGGGGCTGCCATGGACCTCCCTTCATCACCCTTCATTTCAGTCAAGCTCCAAACCAGCAAAATGCATGTTTCTACTCACTCTCCCCTAATCCCCCCACAGAAAAGCTATTTCTAGGCCCTGGACCCCACGGGGAACAGAAGCCCCACCTCCTTAGAGACTGTGAACCTGGAAGGCATCAGGGTTGGAGGAGGAGCAGGATCAACAGCCAGGGCTCGAGGCTCCTGGGGAAGTTCAGACACGGCCCAAGAATGGCCACGCCCTGCGCCCAGAGAATCCTCGGGCAAGGGCTCCGTCCCTGTGGACTGTTGGCGTTACTGCTGTGCTAAGCACATGGCAGTGTCACCGTGTAGGCACTGAAGTGTGGGTTCTGGAGCTAGTTGTTTGGGTTCAAACCCTGGCTCTGCCCCTTATTAGCTGTGTGATGTTGGGCAAGTTACTTAACTTCTCTGGGCCCCAGTTTCCAGGCTAATACAACATCTACCTCATGGGATTGTGATGATAAATGGGATGATACTTATAAAGCACATTGTGTCTGCCCCAGGGTAAGCCTCTGTAGGTATCAGTTGCTGGTTTAGGAAGTACTATGTGCTTGCTGAACGAGTGAACTGACCCATCATTGGGAGCAAGGAGGCGAGAGAGAAGGCCCGAGAATCATTTCACCTGTCCCTCTGACCAAAGCCTCTGCTTCTCATTCTAGGACATCCAGGGACCTCTCTCATTTTAGGGAGGGGGGTCACCCAAGGGAAATGCCAGAGCCCCCCTTTCTCATTATTTCAGCTCTCCTACTCCTACACCGCAAAGTCCTCCCAGCGCCCGACCTCAGTCCCTCCCACTCGAGGGAAGCTCCGCCTTTCTCAGCCGGCCCTTCCTGCTGGGGGAACGTTCCTATCCTCCAGCCTACCTTTCCTTGTTCTCAGAAGGGGTACGAGCTGGGGCCAAGGCGGGGAGGATTAAGAACAACCACTTCAGACCCTGGGAGTTGGGGGGGGGGGTCCCTAATTCAAAGAGACCTAGTCCCGACACCACCCAGGCCTGAGAGCTTTTCCTCCCCAATACTGGCTTTCCAGGGGGTGTCCCCAGCACCCCAGGCCAGTACCCCTCTTTGCCCAACTCCTCCCCCTGAGGGCAGTCTCATCAGGTTGAAGACGTTTAAAACAGGGCCCAGCTAAGGCCCCACAACTGCCAGGCACACTGAACTTCTTCAAAGCACTTTCTGAACATTAACTTGTTTTACATAAAACCCAGTCCTGGGTCCTTCTCCCGGCACCCTGCACCCCATCCTCCATCCTGCCCCCCTCACTTCCCTCCTTCCCTCAGCACCCCGCCCCCCAGACTCCAGAGCTGCGTGCTCAGGATCGAGTTCAGCCTTCCTCCCTTAGATAAACTTCCTTTCAAAGCCCCGCTTAATCCTCTCCCCAATTCCAAGCCTCCCCCGCTGCTGTGGGGAGGGGTGGGGGGAGCGAAAAAGCTTGGTTGCTGGGCGGGGGGTGGGGTGGGGGGGTTGGAGACCAGGCTGCCCGAGCAGTGACCCACCCCAATCAGACGGCGAGATTCTCCCAAGTTCTTTGTGACACAAAAGGTAAACAGAAGGCCTGCTTACCCCCGCCCACCCCAACAGACCTCCCCTCCCCCACCCAGCCAGATGGGCCAGCAGGTTGGGGGAAGGGAGAGGGGGGAAAGGGCAGATTGTGCAAAGGAAAACAAAAGAGACAGAGAGACATCAAGAGACAGGAAACACGGGGAGACTGAGAGAACTGGTGGGTGAGAGATTAGGGGGGAGACGTGGTGACCTCAGCAACTGAGAGAGCCTGGGAAGGGAGTAGCAAGGGACAGGCCGAGTGACCACACCGAGATGGAGAAAACAGAAACCTGAGCAGTGACCCTGAGGCCAAGGGAGAGGAAGCCTGCACAGAGGGACAGAGACAGATCTGGGCGCAGGCTCACACGCAGACCAGAGGCCAAGCAGAGGCAGGCCTGGGATCAGGTGGAGGTGAGACAGAAAGTGCAAGTTTCTTCACGCTGCCCAGCATTTCCCTCGGGGCAGCTGCCACTTGCCGGCCTTGTTTGCCAAGCCCACCCTCTGACCTGGCCCCAGCCCAGCCCAGCCCAGCCCAGAGGGGTGCCCTCCTCCTCACCTGCACCGCAGAGGCTGACTGCTTGCTGTCATTGTTCCCGGGGGAGCTCAGGCCCGAGGCTTGCTGCAGCAGGAACTGCCGGGCTACCTGGAGAGCCTGCAAGACAGGGCGAGTGAGTGTGCCCGACCTGGGCTGTGGGCTGTAGGTCCGTGCGGTCCGGTCCATGGGACCCAGGATTCAGGGAGAGTGGGGGGTAGTAAAGGGCAGGAGGTCAGGGTAAGGTCAGAGTCTTGGGGGTGAGAGAGAGGCACGCGGGGTCCACTTGGGCTTGGGGGTAAGTATACAGATAGGAGTCACCGAGGGATCTAAGCCTGCAGAGACTCACTCTGGGAGGTGGTGAGGTTTGCTGCCCTCGTGGTCAAACAAGGGGGTAGATCAGGGCATGAATCATAGGTACTATTTGTTAAGCATCTACTACGCGTCAGGCACTTCACAGGTGTCTGGGAGGTAAACTATTCCCTTCAAGTTCTTCTGGCTGGACTAATAAGCAAATTAACACCAGGCAGATTAGCAGGAGAAAAACATTACAGTTTAATAACACGTATGCTCCCTGTATCAGGGGAGAGACCCAGAAACAGTAACTCGCCATCGCCTTCAATACCTCCTTCAGCTAAGGACAAAAGGTGATGCTGGGGGTGGAGTCAGTTAGGAGGCTACCAGGAAAAGCACAGTGAACGAGGGAAGGTGGCTGCTCAGACTGAAGCCCAGGCCTTCTCTCCTGACAGCGAGGGCAGGCCTGGTGCAGTGAGGGACGCATCCTCGCAAAGGGAGATGCCCTCACAGGTGCACAAGGCCTCACAGACGGTACTTGGTTTTCAGAACTTCTCCCGGGGCCGCTGCTTCTTAAAGTGAACCAGCCTAAAATAATCAATACGCCAAAGTGGCATATTCTGGGGCGGCGCACTCTGCTGTCCGTCACAGGCAAGCTTGCATTTAATTCTCTCCTGCGAGGCTGTGAGGTAGGGATATCGGATCAGCCCTATTTTGCAGATGAGGCAAGTCTCCAGGAGGTTAAGGAACCTGCCCAAGATCACACAGCTAGGAGGTGTCAGACAGGACTGGAGGCCAGAAGGCCTGGCTCCAAGACCAACTGCCTTCCTATGTGCTGGGTCCAGGGGCCAAGGGGGTAGCATTCACTTGGGTCAGAACCCCCAGCTTTCTGAGTCCAGGGGGTCTAGGTGCAGGGCCTCATGGCGCTGAGGGAATTCAAGTCCTGAAGTGGGTTTTGAAATGCCAGTGAGTTACACTGACTGTGGTCAGCGCTTGGAGGCCATGGTGGCTTGTGGACTCTGAGCCAGCAGAGTCGCGGGCGTGGGAAGTGTGTGGCATTTACAGGAGGAGCAGCTCGGCCAGCCATGGGCCTGGGACATGGGCGGATGGGCTCTGAGAGGTCGGGTGGCAGAGCGAGGGGTCAGGGAGAAGTTCTTCGTAAGGTCAGCGAGGCCCTGCAAACCCCCACTCCTGGGTCAGTGGGGTCTCAGAGGCAAGGGATGTGGGGACCTGTCCCAAATCACATTCCAGGAGCACAAAGCCTGTCTGCCTCCTGGGGAGCCAGAGCCGCTGTGTCAGGCAGACCTGGGTTAGAATCCCAGTGCGATTAGCAGTGGTGTAACCCTGGACAAGTTGTTCCATTTCTGCGTTTCAGTCTCCTGCTCTGCAAAACTGGGACACTGCCCAGCTCGGAAGTGCGAGGGGAATTAAAGGACCGCTTTCCTTTGTTGGCATTCGCCAAGCGTCTGCCCCTTCCCTTCTCATGAATCTCTCAGTTCCCTCCCTCACCGCCTTCAGCCTCTCCCACACAGTCTCGTGCCCGGCGCACCTCTTCACTGACACGTGCCCACCTGTGGCTCACTCACCCCTGCACACACACACACACACACACACACACACACATACACACACCTGTCTGTCCTCACTCTCCTACCCCAGCACTAGCACCGGCAGACAAGACCCTGAGGGGGACAGGGACACACGCGTATGCACAGGCCCCTCCGCACACACTTCCCTGGCGGCCGCTGTGCACCAAGCACATGTACACCCCCTCGCAGCCTTTCATCCTGCAGCCAGCGCGGAGCCTCCCCCGAGGCTGAACCCAGTTTACCTCCCTGGAGGCTGAACCCAGTTTACCTTAGGATGGCATCAAAATACACTGGTGTATCTATGGGAATGTGTCCCCCAGCAAACCTGGGGTTCAGACAGGCGTGCTCCTCAACCGCCCCCCAGATCTGGCCTCCCGCACCTGTCTCTTCCCTGGGGTTTCTTCTCTTCCAGAGTCACTTCTGAAAGTGGAAGTCTGACCTTCCGGGGGCAAAGGCTCCCTGAGGCTGTGAAACGGGGTTTGGGCAGGGCAGGGAGGGGAAGGGAGGGGCCACGGATCATCAGGAAGGAGCCCCTGCCCCTGCAGGCCTCGCTGTTAGACCCCTCCAGCTCTAATGCCATAGGTTGGACAAATGCTCTTTGTCCTTCAAAGGTGGAGGGTAGAGGGGTCCAAGGTGGGGGAAGAGGATTGCTCAGAGGAGCTCCCAGGAAGTCCGGGCACCCCGGTCCGGGGAGGGGTTCCCAGGGGAAGTTGGGGGGAGACTCACTCGGTCTCCTGGTAGGGGGAGTGGCCAGGGAGTTGGATTTACTCCCCACTGACTCTCTTACTCTGTGGTCCCCTGGAGCATGAAATTACAAGATTTACAGGAAAAAATGACATGGGCTTGCAATCTCATTCCTGTGAGCCAGCCCTGTGACAGGCCCTTCACTCCCCCTCCAGCCCCCTCGCACTCGGGGCCTTTCTTCCCCAGGGCCTCCCATTTAGACCGAGGCCTGGCCAAGGGGGTCCCTCCTGACTTCTCCCTCTTCCTTCCCATTTACTGAGCGCCAGCTGTGTGCCAGGGACCATGCTAGACGCTGGAGACAGACACAGCACATGGCCCAGCCCAGGGCTGCCAGCTGGGTGCTGTGACGACAGCTGCCTGTCAGAGACTGAAGTGGAGGTGGCCCCGGGACCAGAGCCCAGAGAAGGCCTCTGCCTGGGGAAGCCTGGGGAGGTGGCGGCACTGGCCAGGGTCCTGGAGGGTGTCCTGAGCACAGTGACCCTGCGAGTCGGGGGACCTAGCCATTCCCGGGGGCAGAACGTCGAGTTGTGTTGGGGGCAGTAGTAGGAGAGGCCCTCAGGTCATCAGGGCCGGAACTCCTCCAGACATTTCACTCATTCATTCATTCTTTCCTTCCTTCCTTCACTCATTCACTCTTTCTTTCCTTCCTTCACTCATGTTCATGGCTCCCCTGCGATTGGAGGTGGCGAGGCGATGGTGACCTACACAAGGTGATGTAATATGCCCTGACCCAGGTTAGGGTGATTTGGATACCACCTAAACATCACCTGCAGGCACCCAGGCAGGTGTGGGGGTCATGGGCAGACCCCGGGCTTGGGTCCAAGCTGCCCTCCCTTGGTGGCTGGGGCATGTCATTGCCGGCTCAGGGCACCCACTACTGCTCCGCTTCTGCCACTGTCCTCAGCACACGCCCAGACCTCCACCAGGACGCCCTCCTCCAGGCAGCCACCCGGGGGATCCATAGGACTGAGATTCTGTAAAACACCACCCGAGTCACACCCACCCTGATGCACAGGGGTCGGCGTCCACACTGGCTGCTGGCACTGGGGTCTGATTCGTCCCTGGCCTGCCCACCTCCCAGGGATGTGGGAAATGAAGGCTCCCCCCAACAACAGATCCAGCCCCACTTTCCCCACCTTTTTTTTTTTTAAATCCTCACTCAAGGATATTTTTTCACTGATTTTAGAGAGAGTGGAAAAGAGAGGGAAAGACAGAGAGAAACATCGATGAAACACATCAATTGGTTGCTTCCTGCACGTTCCCTGACCAGGGCCAGGGCTGGGCCGGGGAGGAGCCTGCAACCAGACGTGCCCTTGACTGGAATCCAACCTGGGACCCTTCGGTCTGCAGGCCAACACGCTATCCACCGAGTCAAACCGCTAGGGTCAGCCCCACTGCCTCTGATGACGCCAACCAGGGTGCAGCCTCCCTGAAGCACAGGTGTCCGCTGTATCTGTGAGCCCCAGCCTCCAGCGCGCGGCAGAAACGCTGGTGAAAGTCACTTTAGTCCAGGCTGAACGTGGGAGGCAGGCACAGGCTGACACGGAGCTTGGGAGCTGGCATTTGGACAGTGCCTGGTGGTTTCAAAGCCCTTCTACGAACATTTAGCTGAAGCTCCACAACCTTGAGCTGGGCAGGGCAGGTGTCACTGTCTCCCCTGCAGACAAGGAAACTGAAACCCAAGGTCCCACCGCCAGGAAGCAGAGTCCAAACACCTCTGCCTGCCCAGCCCCCACACCCAGAGGGGCCCTGGGATCTCCTGCAGTCTGTCTGGTGAGGCCTGAGACTCGGCCTCCCCTCCCCCAGCCAGGCTAGTGTTTCAGCGGTCCGGGTGTGAAGGGGAGAAGCTGGTTGAGGTGGGGAGGGAAGACCAAGAAAGGAATCTCTAACAGTGGTTCTCAACCTTCTGGCCCTTTAAGTACAGTTCCTCATGTTGTGACCCAACCATAAAATTATTTTCGTTGCTACTTCATAATTGTCATGTTGCTACTGTTATGAATCGTAATGTAAATATCTGATATGCAGGATGGTCTTAGGCGACCCCTGTGAAAGGGTCGTTCGACCGCCAAAGGGGTCGCGACCCACAGGTTGAGAACCGCTGCTCTAGGAGAAAGGGGGGCTCGGTTTCCCTTCCGTGGGGCCATGGATACCTGGACATGGCCTCCGGCGGGAAAAGGCATTTAGAATGCCACACCAGGGAGAAGCCATGGTGGAAAATCTGGGAAAAAGGAGGAAGAGGGGGCTCAGGGCAGAAACTGGGAGCCATGGCAAGGTAGTTCAGTTGGTGAGAGCATCGTCCCCATATGCCAAGGTGATGGGTTCAATCCCGGGTCAGGGCACATACAAGCATCAACCAATGAGCGCATAAATAAGTGGAACAACAAATTTATGTTTCTCTCTAAAATCAGTAAGTAAAAAAGAAAAAGATAAACTGGGAGCCATTTGGCTTCTTAAACCTCATTTTTCTCCTGCCTCCACCCGCTGCACTGCAAA